TCTGGATGAGCTTAACCTCCTGTCTCCTCGTGAAGCTCAGGAAGAGCACTCTCACTGGAACCCAGTCTCTGGTCTGCAGCTCTGGAGGAGCTGCACCAGAGGAGACCAGTCTCAAGCCTGAAGCTCTTGGAAAGCCTAACCTGCTAATCTGCCCTGGTGAGCCAACCCGAAGATTCCTACGTGGTAGAAACCTGACGACTTCTCTGAGGAGTTTCCCTAGAGGTTCCCATGTGGATTTTCCCCTGTTGTTCCCTGCGGTGAGCTGGAAGCTCAGCCTGAGAAATCCTTCGTGTTTTCCCCTGTTGTTCCCTGCAGTGAGCTGGAAGCTCAAACTCAGGACTGCCAGGCTAAGCCTAGCTTGATACTTAGCCTCACTTGAACTCAGCTACCATCCATCTCCCTTTCCCTGCACAGAACCCAGTAAACCAGCCCCCTGCCTGAACTGTTCCCTTTTCAGTATTCATGTGCTTGTGTTAAAATAAACTCTTTTGGACTTTTACCAGTGTCTCCGTGTGTGTTCTGCATCTTGGGCTTTACTCTCAGAAACCCAATCATGACATATTTAAAACATTGTGCAAAAAAGATCTGGCCATGAGGTGAGGGGAAACAGAAATAGATTTACTAATTAACTGGTGGCTTTAAAACAACCCATTCAATGATAATGCTAAATGAATCAACATGAAAACAATGGCAGGATTTAAAGGCAAAAACTAAACACAAGAATGGTTGAAGCTAAAAACACCTGACAACAGTGAACAGAGAAATTAGCTAATACAGTCAACTCTAACCCTAAAAAGAGGTATAGGACTAAATATAAAGGAAAGTGCTGAAAAACACAAAATGAAAAGCATAAACTAACACGTACAAAGCTTCACAAAAACACATTTAAAGGGTTGACAGTAACTTTAAATCAAATCTCCCAAGCAGGCTATTAGAGAACTGCAGCAAAGACTAGCCAATCAGGGTTACCAGGTATCCATAACAACCGTTACAGTTACCATCTTCATAACACTGGCTTTGTTTAGAATTAAGGCCTGTGAAAAGTTCTTTCTTTCATGACATCATACAGGGTTAAGAATATGGCCATTGCAAACAACAGTGGAAAGTCTGTTTTTTCCCACTGAAATGACCTTATAAGAGTGCATGACATCATGATCCCTTGCCATGCGCTTCAACATGACCCCCAAGACAATTAAGAAAAAGAACAAAGTCAAATTTTAAATAAATATCTGTATCAGGTTCATTCTCCAAATTGTAAGGTGAAATCAAGAGAGAAATGTTGAGAAAAGTTTTCTTTAAAAGAATGTTTCCTGGAATGTTTTCTAAAAGTACAGATTTCAGTGGAGCTGAAGTGAAGTGAGCATGAGGAAGAAATGAGGACTCTGAAAGATCATAAAAGATTATGAACTAAAAATGGGCAAAAATCTTTTTCTGCTTCAACCATGTAGAATGTTATAGAACACTAACCTCGGTCCTATTGGCAAAAGTGGCAAGCTTCTGCCACTGCCTGGTATTATTAGCTTTCCGGATCATATTTTCCCCCTGATAAACTTTGACATATTCCAGCAATAAGCAGTTAGTAGTGCAGAACCAAATGTCCATACAAGGCCGGGTTCCATTTATTTTTATCCATTTGTGAGCAGGGATCATATTTACCTGGCAGAGAGTAACTCACAGTAGAAGTACGAACAGAAACAAAAGCTATGATTATTCTTACATTTTTACCCTTAAAATATGCAATCAAATGTCATCAAAGCACAGATTGTTTGGATGGTAATATGCTGCTGTTCAGAAAGGCAAATTGTAAATGCTGCTGAAATACATAAAAGAGAGAGCTCCCTGGAAATGTTTTTATAAAGTGTCACAGTTCATTTGTGTTTTTGAACCAAAAGAATCTGAAAGATTTTTCTTTCTTTTTTTTGCAGCGATATCATCTAGATGGAATATGAGTATACTGCCATCTGGTGTTCAGTTTTCAAGGTGCAACCTTAATGCACCTTTTGTGCATGTAAAATCTTTAAATGTAAAAAGTGAAATCAGGTAAGATCTCAAAGATTTGTTTTGAGGAGACTTATAATTTTAGATTAAGAGTTGGTATTCTTACCTAAAAGCTTTTTCAACACAGAAAAATGCTTCTGGAGAAAACTGTTTAAATTATAATGATGTGAGAAAATTAAGCATGTATTCAAAATCACACTAGAGTGCAACTATTTCTATGCTGTTTGTTATATTGTTGCATATTAAGGAACTGTTTCAAAGTAGATCACTGAGCTACTCAAAATGTTTAGCATTCAGCTCTTACTCATTTTCCAAACCACAAAACCTGCACATACTAAACATAATAATATGTGTTCTATTTTACAAAAAACAGTGACAAAATTACTATTTAATATACTATATTTGGATGCTATTAAAAGTTAACATGGTAGCATCAAGATTAACATTTATTTGCATAGAGGAAAACAGAAATACTGGGTGATTTGCAACTGTTATGCTATGGATAAATATTTCTTGTTTCATATATATACACTATATTGCCAAAAGTATTTGCTCACCTGCCTTGACTCACATATGAGCTTAAGTGACATCCCGTTCCTAATCCATAGGGTTCAATATGACGTCGGTCCACCCTTTGCAGCTAGAACAGCTTCAACTCTTCTGGGAAGGCTGTCCACAAGGTTTAGGAGTGTGTTTATGGGAATTTTTGACCATTCTTCCAGAAGCGCATTTGTGAGGTCGCACACTGATGTTGGACGAGAAGGCCTGGCTCTCAGTCTCCGCTCTAATTCATCCCAAAGGTGTTCTATCGGGTTGAGGTCAGGACTCTGTGCAGGCCAGTCAAGTTCATCCACACCAGACTCTGTCATCCATGTCTTTATGGACCTTGCTTTGTGCACTGGTGCACAGTCATGTTGGAAGAGGAAGGGGCCAGCTCCAAACTGTTCCCACAAAGTTGGGAGCATGGAATTGTCCAAAATGTCTTGGGATGCTGAAGCATTCAGAGTTCCTTTCACTGGAACTAAGGGGCCAAGCCCAGCTCCTGAAAAACAACCCCACACCATAATCCCCCCTCCACCAAACTTTACACTTGGCACAATGCAGTCAGACAAGTACCGTTCTCCTGGCAACCGCCAAACCCAGACCCGTCCATCAGATTGCCAGATGGAGAAGCGCGATTCGTCACTCCAGAGAACGCGTCTCCACTGCTCTAGAGTCCAGTGGCGGCGTGCTTTACACCACCGCATCCGACGCTTTGCATTGCACTTGGTGATGTATGGCTTGGATGCAGCTGCTCGACCATGGAAACCCATTCCATGAAGCTCTCTGCGCACTGTTCTTGAGCTAATCTGAAGGCCACATGAAGTTTGGAGGTCTGTAGTGATTGACTCTGCAGAAAGTTGGCGACCTCTTCGCACTATGCGCGTCAGCATCCGCTGACCCCGCTCCGTCAGTTTACGTGGCCTACCACTTCGTGGCTGAGTTGCTGTCGTTCCCAAACACTTCCATTTTCTTATAATACAGCTGACAGTTGACTGTGGAATATTTAGGAGCGAGGAAATTTCACGACTGGATTTGTTGCACAGGTGGCATCCTATCACAGTTCCACGCTGGAATTCACTGAGCTCCTGAGAGCGACCCATTCTTTCACAAATGTTTGTAAAAACAGTCTGCATGCCTAGGTGCTTGAATTTATACACCTGTGGCCATGGAAGTGATTGGAACACCTGATTCCAATAATTTGGATGGGTGAGCAAATACTTTTGGCAATATAGTGTATATATATATATATATATATATATATATATATATATATATATATATATATATATATATATATATATATATATATATATATATATATTTGTGGATTTTAACTGAAAGACAAGTATTGCCTCTATTTCTCTACCATACATTCTATTCTTGCGATATTTAAAGTTTTATCCTTCACTTCTTAAAGCAATATTTATGCTGAATTTCAGCTCGAAATCCACTTTTTATTCAAGTAAAAGCCTTTTTAATTTATTACTTTATTAGAACCAGAAACTTTAATGTTTTATCTTGAATTTATTTAACAGACAAGCGAAGTTGTGCTTAAGTTTAAAGAACAAATATCCCTTCAGATTTAGAGGTTGGAATGCCTTCCATCCCATCATACTGAGACACCTCTGCATAAAAAACTAGTTGTGTTTAAATTTTTATATTTCAAAAAAGCACATGCAGAGATGGAGCCAAAGGTCCACAGTAACTCTCTAGGAACTGAAGAAATCCATGGCTCAGGTGGGTGGGAGAATCTATCTCTAGCTAAATTTTAGATCAGCAATCAATAAATCTGATGCTTATGGGAAGGGAGACCACATAAGGATAAAGCAGAAAGGATAAGTGAAAACCTTCCTAAAAAAATCCACATGTTGATGAAAATGTTGCACATTAGCCTGAACACACTGTCGTATAGCAGTTCAAAGCAGCATGCTGTGAGCATGCCTTCCTTTAACACTGATAGAGATGCTCAACTGAACTTGGTTGGATGCAGCGGTTCAGATCAAAGCATGTTCATGAGCTAGAATGGTCCAGAACCCATGCATGACATGCAGGAAAGGACGACAGGCCGGATTCAAACCCTGGTTGCCTGCGTCAAAGGCCTCCATACATGGGTTGTGTGTGCTAACCACTGCACCACCTGCCTCTCTATCCAATTTAAATGGAGTACAGCTGGTATCCAAAGATGTATAAGCAATAATACAACAGTAGTAAAAGGTGGTACTGAATGTCTTCACGTGGGAGACAAATATGTATCAACCCTTTTTAAAAATCATGTGTCAAAAGAAAAAAAAGATGCATCTCTATGATTGTTATTATTGTGCACCATTTAGTGTTAATCAGTCACAAAATATTCGCACTAAAAAGCACTAAAGTTTGTAGTTGTTACAGTGTTTGGTGAAATTGAAAGACCAAACCTGGGGTTAACAATTAACAATTAACTTGTGCAAAAAAAAACCACATGACTCATATTCTGTTTATTACAGTATTTTGCTACATATAGACAAAACAGACACACAGGTTTTGTTCAAAATCTATCATTAATAGGTCACAGTATTAACAAGAACAGTGACAGCTTGTGAAAACAGACCTTTGACTGTAGGAACAAAATAATTTACCAAAACTCGTGAAATAACACCTCTTTAACCCATAAAGATGGGCAGAAACTTTAACAAGTCCTCTGAACCTAATCAACACATTTATTAGTCTTCCAAGACAACGTTGGGACATTTCTTTATTAAATTAATTAAAAACAATAAAACAAACTGAACTGAAACTGAAGTAAGGTCCAACAACAAAAATAAAATAGAAAAAAAACGCATACCAAAACATAACAAACTATAGGAGGGCAATGTAGGATAGTCCATGATCACCAGGGTGAAGCTCCTGCCTCATGGCTGAGTCTGTACTTGTGATAGCTCCAGGTTTGTCTGAGTTGGTGGTAGTGTGCTTGAAAAGTCTGGGATGTTATGTTCTGTGTAGGGAGGTGGGATGTCATCTGGTTTGATTCCCAACTGAAACACAAAGAGAAATTAAAAACAGAAGATATTTAGAAATGAAAGCTGATAAGGCTTCAAACAAAGCAGACATTGAGAGTAAAAATAGGCTGCATCATGAACCTATTAGGCTCACCTCATGATAAGATGGTGGGGGCTCATAGCGGACGGTGGTGCTGTATCTGGGTGGAGATAGGTGCTCGCTCCCGTGCAGGTCTTCACTATCCTGCCGTGATATACTTTGAGGAAAAGGGATGAAGTATATGGAGCGCAGTTGGTTTTCCTGTTCCCTGCGGAGCTGTGCTTCCCTCTCTATCTGCTCCTCTCGCAAACGGGAACACGTCCTGCAGAAGCTGGTGCAGAACATGATGGCCAGACCGAAGCCCAGGAAGCCCAGGAAGACCCTCATGAGAAAAATGAAGGAGCGTGCAAAAGAAACAGATGATTATGATTTGGACATTTTTGCAATATCAATTAAGATATACATTGCTTTTTCATGGAGATGTTAGGACAAGCTTTATGGCAACATCTGAAGGTAAAATGGGTAGAAACAGAGCAAAGCCTGTTGGAATATTCTTTCTTCAAACTGAAAGAAAATATGTTGAATAAATCTTACTGAGAGCAGAAATATTTAGCTTTTATTGAGAGAGGAAACTAAACTGAAAAGTTTTCTACAGCAGCTTCATCCAAACAGGATTGAGGGAAAGATTTAAATTTTTCTAAAGTTAATAGTTTCCAGCTATGTTTAAATTACAGTCTGCTTACATGGATTGATTTGCATTTAAAAGGACTTTAAATTGCTAGTTCATCTATCTTCATCAATAGTTATCTTTTTTTAAATCTGTTTTACTTTTAAATAGGCCCAGACTCTTATTCTTGTTTTTTCTTGTTATTATTGTTGGTTTTGTGTTGAGCAGGAGTAATCCTTGCATACCTTGGAGAGGAAGCTGTTGGTTCCTGGCAGTTTAAAAAGTCCATTGAGTCTCTCTGTCTCTGGGAGGGTAAGAACTGCTTGTTATCTACCATAAAGCCCCCCCAAAAATCTTATACATAAGAAACAACATATGGAAAACTGAGAACAAGCATTGAAAATGATTTTTTATAACTACTACTACTCATGTTAAATCATATTTAATAAAATATTTGAAAATTGATGGCCTTTTTTGTATTATACCTCATACAGTTGTTTTATTGTTACGACACACTGATGAGGAAGTTAACTTCAAGATTTTAAAAGTTGAGGCTATCCAGAAAAAAAAGAGCAGAAACCTTCACTTACAGAGCAAGGTCGGACTGTTCTAGGTCTGCAATAACAAAATAAATCCTTGCTTTTTTTTCAATGAAACACCTGGAAATAGTTTGGATTTTGAGATTCAATTCACACGACATTGATTAAATGCATTATTAGTCTTCTTTTTAAAAGGTAAAACATAGATTTTATGGAAAATAATTATTCTAAATGCTCTTTAACACACTCAGATGTTTTCAAACACTCAGTGGTGGCAAAGCTGTCATGTTAGTTTAGGCCTCTTACTCATTCTCAGTTTTCTACGTACAGTAACGAATGAAAGTTGGTGGAAGCAAATGATAATTTATTTCTCTCTCTTTTTTTTAACTATTGAGACATTTTGTATTTTTTGAGCCTAAAGAAATAAATGGGATGCTGTGTGGCATCAATAAAATGTCCACACCTAATTCTTTTTTCTATTAATCATAGTTTTTTCTTTGCATTATGATTCAGTGGTTCAAATAAATCATGAAGAGTCTATAATGACACTTCAATGTTTGCCAATAATAAATAATAATAATAATAATAAAGATAATAAGTGTTTGTATTAAAAAAACAATCCAAAATAGAAATAAAATAGATTTCTTACTCTAGATAAGGAAAGGAGTTATATATCATTCTCTAGATGGATTGGTCCCACAGGATGGATCGAAATGGAGCCACGAATAACAGAATGAACCTAAAAGGTAAACAAGGTTTTACAAATCTTATTCCAAATGACAAGATGAGAGGATCCAAAAAACGGATTCACTTGAGCTGATAATCAACCACAGTTCTTTATGCTTATCAAACACAGACTCACTACTTGCTCTCTTACATAAATCAGATTTCTATCCTCTGCCAATAAAGAAGTACACTTTGTACTCATAAGACCATAAATGTTTTGTCGTCGGCACATTGATGCAACAGGGTTTTTATTGCCAGTCGATATGAAAAGGAGTGCCATTTCTTACCAGAATCAGTCTGACTGTGACAACCTTATACTGTTAATAGTTATTCAATTTGGCCTAATTGTTGGGGGCTATTACATAAAAACATATGATGACGAGAAGAGCTTCATGCTTAATGTTGCACACATTTCAATGCAGTTCTGAGAACAGATAATAGCTTTAATAGAGCTCACCTGTCAACAAGAAAAGAAAACAGACGTAAAAATTTCCTATGGCTGTAATTGTTAAATAAAGCAGAAAATCTGACAAAAAAAATCTGCATGGTTGAAAAAGGGTTTACAAAGAAAATAAAAAAGAAATGTTACATGTTTTTGCAATCATCCCCTTTTACACTTATATTCCTAAACTATTATCTTTACAATCAGATAACTGATCAATTTAATATGTCTGTGTTTGATATGAATGTGGCTGTGAAAGCCTCAGAGCCATATTAGAGAACTGCATTCTTTTGAACATCTCACAGAGCACAAAAAAGCCCAACAAAAAAACAAGAAGAGTGAGGAAGCAGCTGAGTAAACTGTGGTAACTCTGGAGAAGCTGCAAAGATCCACTGCTCAGGTGGAACTATCCGTCTACAGCAGGGGTCTCAAACTGGTTCCAGAAAGGGCCGTGAGGCTGCAGGTCTTCTTTCCAACCAAGCAATAGCACACCAGACTCCAGTCATCTCATCAAGTGAGTCCAGTCTTAACATGATGACTTGATGAGATGACTGGAGTCTGGTGTGCTATTGCTTGGTTGGAAAGAAGACCTGCAGCCTCACGGCCCTTTCTGGAACCAGTTTGAGACCCCTGGTCTACAGGATCTGCACAGCTCTGCACCTTAGAAAAAATCTGGCTTTTAGGAAAAGTTGACAAGTAACGGTATCATTGAATGAAAGCTAAAAGAAAAAAAAGTCCTTCTAGCATGTGGATAAGGTACAAGGAACCTTTTTAGCCAACACAAACCCCGCAGTAAAATATTTGGGCGGCAGTGTCATGCAGTATAATAGTAAGAACAGGAATCTGAGAATTGATGGGTGGATTTTTTCAATTACACGGTAATCAATCAAAAACAAACAAACATTATAAAACTAAGCTGACAGGGGCATTACCCTAAAGCACTCACTGGGGTAGGTATAGAAGTTTTACTTTAAGAATAATGAATGGACACAGCTTGTTATTTTAAAATTTCATTTCATTCTCATTCTTCACAATTATGCACAACTTTGTGTAACTCTGTAACATAAAGCTCATTTCATAGAATTTTGATGTAAAGTAAACAAAAAAAGGTGCTGGTAGGCTAAGGAACTATTCAAACTATTATAATCATCATGAATATGCAAAAGTAAAAAAGCATAGACCTTTAGGCCAATAAAAGATGTGGTTTTACAGCTGATCATGTAGGTCAGTCCTGTGATTATCACAGACTTTGATTTGACACCTTCTAGATAATGGAGGGAAACTTCTAAGCTTGAGCCCAGCACAATAAGGGTTTGTCTTTAAAAATGATACATTTTTTCAGATGATTCCTACATAGATTTAACAAACCAAACAGGTACTTGACAAAGGTAGGAAAACAAAACTAAAATTAGCTCAAGTAGGGATATGTGAAGTCAAAATTCCCAGTAGCTGATCATTGAGCACATAGAAACCGAAGCAAAGTCTGTAAATACGCATTGAACAAACAGACGTCTATGATATGTTCCCTTTGAAGAGATTTCTGATTAAATTTAAACAGATCCTTTTGATGAAACCAGATTCAGATTAGAAAACAGAAGCAAAGGTGTGTTTCAGGCTCTTACCTTTGGGTAAAGTGTCTTTTTCCAGCTGTAGAGCTGAAAGGGCTTAATCAGTGGAGCAGAGTACAGTTTTTATTGTGGGTGTGCTGTGTGTGTACTGTGTGTGCTCATGCATGGGAGCAAGGGTAAAGCCCACAATGCTTATCTCCCATTAAAATGCATTCAAAAATCACTATCCTTAGTTCAAATTCTTCTTCTACCAAAAGCATTTTGAAAAAGGCCTAAATATAGATGATCACACCAAGAAAAAATATACATTACATGTCATTTTAGTGATGGACAGTGTGTCTTAATAGATGGTGATAAAGGGTTTCTCAGAAGGATTTATGGCAGTGTTATGACATTTAAAGGAACAGGCCTGTGTTTTTCCTCTCATAAGCTGGTAGTTAAAGTTGTTAAGAAAGAATTTAGGAAAATATGAATAAAAACAGTTAGCCCCCCCAGCTGTGTGGTCAGAGTCCTGAGTGCTAACATCTTAAATGCCCCTTGTTCAGAAAAAGGCTAATCTGACCATAGAAGATAGTTGTTTCTACTTTATCTCAGGCAGCGAGGAAAGAGGCCAATGTTCTATGCCAACCAGTTAAAATAAGTGTGAGTGTGAAGTCTAGAATGATTTTTTTTTTTACTTTTCATTTGAACATTTTAAATCAGTATTTTTGAATATTATCTAAACAACTGACAAAAAAACAACAACAACAAAAACAAAGAATAAGACTGGAAGTAAAAAGTCGTTATCCTGGAACCCCTAACCTAACAACTGACTGTTCCATTCTGCTTTCAACATCTACTTGCTCTTTGTATTTACATTTAATAAGAGTATGATTAGACTTAAGGTCAAAAACTGTTGGCCAGATGTTCAATTTCAAGTTTTCTACTAATTAAATCATTCAGGTCTTTGAGGAGCAAAGCAGGTCCACATTAATAAACTAACAACCCCAGATTGATGTAGTGAGACATTCATCTTCCAAAAACAAATCCTGTAAACGGGATAATTTGGTAACTTAGGAGGAATAATTTAGATGTGTTTCAAGAAATATTTGTCTTCTTTTTATTTTTCCTTACTGGTTTGGTCCTTAAATGAAACCTGTAATTCTTGAGATGTTCCTCAGGGGTTTTTGTCACCCTTTGGATAAGTTGTCAGATTTTGGTCACCCAGACACTCCTTTTAGTTTATTAGCGTTCTGTATTTTCTTTCAACTGTAACGGCTGTCCAACGTCTTAGAGATAACCTTGTAACTCTTAAGATCTAACAAATGGAATTGACTTTGCTTCTCATATCAGGCTGTTCAATATGTTTTAGCCCAGTTATGTTCTTGTTAGACAAGTTCCTTTACCCTTACAGGTCTGGCATTGATCAAATCAGGGTGTGGCGATTAAAAATGAAATATAGAGATATGAAAACAATTTGTGTTCTTCTTATCTGACTTTCCAATTTGTTTAATAGTCTCAATAATGGGACAAATAGCTTTCACTGCAGTACAACAACCCAATCAATAGGTGGAAAAGGAGAAAATATGCATCTTCAGTGAGAATAATAATTACTTACAGAAGATTACAGCATTTTGCAAGTCACTCACACCCAGAGTGATAAGAGTGGTTCATGTTTGTTCTTACTGAGCTGCTGAGTGCAGACGATTATTATGATCAGAGCAGCAATCGAAAAAAAGCAAATAAAAGCAGCAGTGGTGGCTGGCATAAACCGAAAGGTGTAATGATTAAAAATGTACTTTACAAACCAGTTAGCTATCTCTGAGTGGAAAAAAACTCTTGTCTGCTGTTAGAGGAATGTAAGGATACAAAGGTTGCATCAATGTAACTGTCAGGAAGTGAACATGCAAAATTTATGTAATTAATAATGATAACAGAGGCCTTTGCTCCCTGCTAGCATATTAATCATGGAGGCAGCTTGAATTATTTTAGATAAGGTTTACAGTTGAAGTAGTTCAGGATCTACTGAACTATCTCTGTTGACCCTTACATCACACAAATACAAAGTTTTATGGGAAAACTTAAATCGAGGATATAATGAGAAATGGGAAAAAAAGGTAGAAAATGATGAACAAACGGGTGTTAATTGTACACCGCACAAAACTATCTGGAGGAAACTATTGGAACAAGTAATAAAATCCTTCTGGAATTTACTCAATGAAAGGAGAAATAACTGATTAGGCTGAGAGGGACTTGGTAGCTGGATGGAGGCTCACCTTCACCTCAAAAAGCCTAAACATACAGCTATTCATTTTTCTTAACGCCAAAGTAAAAGTTACAATTTAAAGTATAAACTGAAATAAATAAGATATGAAAATAAACAGCTTGGTTAGGCTAAAGTTAAAGAGGACTTCAGTTCGGCTTTCAACACCATCATTCCACAGCTGATGGGCAAACTGGAACAGCTGGGCTTCAATGCACCCCTCCGCAATTGGCTGTTAGACTTCCTCACAGACAGACCTCAGTCAGTCCGGGTTGGACAGAACACCTCTGATGTCATCACCCTAAGCACAGGCTCCCCTCAGGGCTGCGTCCTGAGCCCCCTGCTGTTCACTCTGATGACACATGACTACGTCCCCAGCTTCACCACCAATAACATCCTGAACATTGCAGAAGACACCATGGCTGGTTGTTGTCGTCTCTGATGACAACGACCAGGACTACAAAGAGGAGGTGGAGCAGCTGGTGGACTGGTGCAAAGATAACAGCCTGATCCTGAAAGTGGAGAAACGAGGGAGATCATAGTCGACCTCAGGAAGACGCAGCCTAACCACGCTCCACTGGTCATCAACAGCTCAGCTGTAGAGGTGTTCAGCAGCACCAAATATCTGGGGGTGCACATCATAGACACCCATACCTGGAATGTTAACACCACCTCACTGGTCAAAAGGGCACAGAAGCGCAGATACTTCTTGCAAAGGATGAGGAGAGCCTACCTGTCCCCACCCATCCTCACCACCTTCTACAGAAGCACCATAGAGAGCATTCTGACCAGCTGTCTCACTGTGTGGTGTGGAGGCTGCTGCAGCTCAGACTGGAAGAAGGTGAGGAGAGCGGTGAGAACAGAAGAGAAGATCATCGGGGCTCCTCTTCCCTCCATAAAAGACATTTCATCCCAGCGCTGCGTGTCTCGAGCCTGTAACATTATAAATGACCCCTCACACCCCCACCATGGACTGTTCTCCATGCTGCCCTCGGGAAGGAGGATTCACAGTATTCCCTGCAGGTCCAGCAGATTCCGAAACAGCTTCTTCCCCACCGCCGTCAGGCAACTCAACCGTTGAGAAAACTCTAAATCACAGAATCTGCATCATACTGACATCACCAAACCAAGACACTGCATCATTGTACAATATATATTAATGCTCTGAACTTCCATATCAATGCATTTTTTCAATGGAAATGTCATAAAAGCTCTACAAAACAAAATTCAATTTGTATACACTCTTGAGTTTAAAAAATGACAATAAATGTTGTCTAAGTTCTTTGCCATACTTTGCCTGCCCAAAATTATCATGAAACTAAGAAGATAGAGTTAATCTTTTGAGGTGAAGTGAATTTCTTCCTTAGATATTAAAGCATATTAGCAGCAGGCTGTCACATATAAGGCACTAACTGTTGAAAACTGACCCTTTCTTTAATACAAAACACACTTTTTTGAACATATTTTGTCAACTTTTCAAGTCAGAAATGTTTAAAAAGAAAGGCTACATATCCCAGATTAGGAAATCTAGTTTTTAAACTTTCTCTGAACAGTAACCTCTTCAGTATAGCATAGGAAAATGTGCTCAGATATAATTAAATGAATGTATAAAGTTTTCTGTATACAAGTCGATTTTGGTTCAAATAGTCGTTTATTAATTCTTATTTTGTTTCCTGAAGACAAAAGATACAAACATTCATTTTATTTCTTCTTTCTTTTTTTTTTTGCTGTATTGCTGATAACAAGCTATCAAAAAACATTACAATAAAACAACACATTTGTTGGATAGTTCATTTCTTTTTCTTTCCTCTGTAATAATGCAGTTTAAATTCAAAACCCAAATTAACTTCACAGCAGTTCAAAAAAAAATCCCACCCAAAATCTTACAACATTAAGGTCTGTGTGCTGAAACAGCCACTTAGAAAGAAACAAATAGGCAGAAACAGGCATCTCTGGTGGAAATCCCTCACTAAATAATCCAAGGAAAGTACCTCTTACCGTTAAATTTTAAACTATTTCTCAAGTATGCTCAAACAAAGTTTGAGGAAGAACGAAAAAAGCTATTTGGCTGAAATTTCTACATAAAAAAAAAAAGAAAAAAAGAGTGCTACTATTTTTTGTCAGAGTTTTTAAGTGCAAAATGCTTGTCATGAAGGACACAACTTTTCTATGTTTCACACTGGGCCTTTAAAACTGTCAATACATGATGGGAGCATCTGCTTGATGTGAGAAACTAATGGAGCCTTTAAAAACTGGGCATCCTGTAAGAGTGGGTCAAACAGACATGGGCTGCAGATGGTTTATCTAAGTTCTTTATATCTATGGTTGGAAGTATGGGGCCTGAGAAAATCAAATTGGGAACATAAATGACCCACATCTGACAGCCGCCTGCATAATGTACTGACCCTATTTTCAACAATCTAATTTCAGTAGTACAATGAACACAAGAGTATTAGCTCTTAGTCTACTCTCTAATCTGGGCTCTTCTTTAAAACCCAGATTAAAGACCTGCTCAGGTGAGGCTTGGATGGTGGAGGTCTAAAAAAAACAATCCATGCCCCCGGAAATGCTTTCATAAAAATCTGCTCAAGTTTCAGTGATGTTGGTTTCAGTCCAGAAACCAACATCTGCCTGTCCACAGGGGGTCAAATAAAAACCAAACTGCTCCAAAGACTATAAATCTTCATGAGGAGCCCTGAGTTGCCGCTTGTTCAACCAAGCCTGTAACAGAGGAAGGTTGGTGTCCATCCAGCGGATGTTATCCTCGATGGTCTCGTAGGTCTGCTGGATGCACCTCATTTTTGATCCCTCCTCCTCCGTCAGGGAGTCAAAAAAGTTCCTTATCTGAGGGACAGCATGGGTGTGAGATTTAAACACATATTCCCACTTTAAAGTGATAAAAAAATATATAATTTATCCTCTCATTAACAAAAAAAACTTGAAGACAGAAGAAAATTCTTATTAATCACCTCCTGAAGCATCTCCCTGGTGGAGTACTGGTTGGTCACA